AGTCCCCGGCGAGGCGTGTCACAGCATCCGGCTCCCAGACTCAGACAGAGCAGAGACAATAGGTTAAATTGAGATTATGAAGGGAGACAAATCCGGCTAGTCCCCGGTGAGGCGCGTCACACTACCCCTCTCTTTGCACAAATTGAGAACCCCAATACTTCGCTGTTTGGGGAAAAATTGTTTTGCTCACTGAAGACTGGGGGCACGGCTTGTCGCAGCATGCTGCATCGGTATTTCCATGCCTTTTGTGGTGATCTGGCTTTGGAGCCCAACCACGACCTGGGTACAGGATCGCCAATGAGAACGCAGGTTCACTGATCGGCCTGGCTAAGCCCCCGGCCACATACGTGATGCTGGCAAGACTCGTCGTCCTGGAAGGACAACCATGAAACTTCGAACGTAAACATGCACTGCAAGGGCATCGAGCAGATGAGGGCAGAGTGCGGTAGCTGCATCTCCATTCGACGCAGACCGCAGCATCCGCAGCAGCAGCAGCAACGGCATGGTAAACCGTATCAATGCATCAACCAAAAGCACAAATCAAGGGGTTCGATTTGCTTGTCAAGGCACTGCCGAAGAACCTGAGCTACCAACTGCTGCTAGGGTACTCGCCCGCACACCCATTCACTGACAGCTTGTGTTTCGAGGCGCTAAGGTTGCCCAGAGCTTCTTGACGAATTTTCCAGGCAGCTGTCTTGCTGCAAGCCTGAAGGCCAAATTCACAAGATCTGCAACCCACAGCTCCTCGTAAAGGTTGCTAAAAGCCCAGAGCCACCCAACAAGAAACCGACACGATGGGTTGCAACTCGAGCGGCTATGCAAACGACCAGCCACTGCCCAGCCCAGGAAGCGACCAACTTCCTTGCAAAGCTGATGCTGCTTCCCTGCAAGGCTTTTCTGCCTGAATACGCAAACCGAGCATCATTAAGGCTCACGTGCACACAGCTCGACGGCGTGCGCGCAACGCGTCCGCAGGGTGGGGGCCCGGCTACTGATTTGAGCCAGCCCCTTGGCGAAACACAGCTACAAGCGACCAGAAATCTGCAGGACGTGCAGCCTCACCTCACCTCACCTCAAGAAAGCAACAAAGATCTCCCTCTCACATGCATTTCACAGGAATCGTAAAGACCGCCAAGAGCTCCGGGATGCTCCAGGTCTCGACACAGCCACGTTTGGCTACAAGAGCAATCGGTACGATCAGGACCTGGGTCGTTGCGCTCTCAAAGAGCAGCTGCAGTACACATCTTTGGCAAGTGTTAAGCCGAACCGTTTCAATCGTCAGCAAACGTCACCAAACAACATCGGCAACATGCTGATGACTCCATCCATGCAATGATGTGTCGCAAGCACACCTGGTGAAGCTGTTGTTTCTGCTACCGGGGGACTCCTCAAGTCTTTCCAGCTACGTTGCATGTTGCAACTTAAGAGTGGAGGCTGTGCGGCAGACATGCTCTGTACCTTTGGTACGAGCAGCCAAACTGCCGTGTGAAGTCTTGTGAAACTCGGCGAAACACAGGTCAGATGTCGAACGCGGTCACTGGCCATGGGCCATCTGAGGCTGCTCCTCAAGTTGCAGCATGTTGGGCAGTTCGTGTGCGAAAATGGCATCGTATAAATCCTTGTCGTCCTGCGCAGATTCGCACAATGAAATCTCTTGCACTGACATACTGTCATCGGCACCGACCAGCCCGGCTCTGATCTCTGCAACAGTCGCAGCTGCGATCTGACGTCTGATCGACGGTGCGGTCACATCAAGTACGGTGGAATCCTTCACTGAAAGGTGTCCAACATGGGGCAACGCATTGAAAAGCGTGTCTCTCATCATATCCAGCTGCGTCTGTGTCACCAACAGCTTGTCGCAATGCATCGGTTGTCCTGCACGTTGGCCTCTTGGTGGCTTTGACCCTGGCAAAAGAACTTTTCTTTGAATCAACACACCTTGTTGGTACATGTGGTGTTCCTTCTGATTCCTTGAACCGAAATACATACCAGCCCCGTGGCGCTTCCCTGAAGCCCAGCCACCATGGTACTCGGAGCCATCCCGGTGGTAGTACACTCCAGGCCCGCTGCATTGACCTTTCCACCACACTCCTTCGAACTCGTCGCCATTCGCAAACACTTGTTTTCCAAAGCCGTGCCGAAGACCGTCGGCCCATCTCCCATCGTACTGGCTTGTCTCCGACTGGTAAGTACCCTGTCCATGCTTGGATCCCTGCATCCACTGCCCGTCGTAGGAAGACTGATCGCCCCAAACTTGCAAGCCGTGCTTGTGCTTCCTATCATTCAAGAACTGTCCCTTGTAGGTGCTGCCTGAGTTGTTCTCCACGAGCACGCCACAACCGTTCCTAGCCTTTACCTTGAAAGTCCCTTCGTAAAATCCAGACTCGTCCTCGAACTCTTCATGCGCAAAGCCGAACTGCTTGAGCCCGAGGTCAGATGCAAGTTCTCGCTTTTTCTGACGGCTGACTCCTGCAACAAAGGTCTGTGCTGCGGTGAAAGCACTTCCAGAGAAAACGGTCCGCCGCGTGTCATCCATGGCAGCAAATGTCTATAATTTGATTTAGTTCATTCGTGCTGAAATTATCTTAAACCTAGCAACAGAAAGCAGATGCCTTGCAGTGCTGGACGTGGACGGCTTACTACCTGCTGCTTGAACCGCCTTGTTTCCTGTCGTCGCAGCTGTTTCAAGAGGTGCCTTTACACAGGCAGTTGACCTGACCCGTGAGACACTTCAGGCCAATGGCAGAACACTCAGCATCCCATCATGTGGATGCAGCTTTTGTCCACGCTTTGTTGGTCATGCTCCGAACAGCAGCTCCTCCATTTCTTGGTTGCTAACGTCTGGGAAGCTCTCGAGCATTTCCAAGTCTTCATCTGACCAAGGCGATATGAGCCGTAGCTCAGCATCACAGTATTGAAGGTATAGCACTCGATCACAACAACCTGGGCAATCTGCGACCTCTTTGATGCGACTGAGCAAGCCAGCTAATCTTCCCATCAAGGCTTCTGTCTCCTCTGCTAAGCCTGGCCTGTCCAGCTTCAGGTCGTCTTGTGTCAACTCCTGCAGGTCTACAATGCTGCCTCTATCAACAATGCCTCGAGCAAGCATCCCGATATTGCCCAGCTGCATCTCTGCAAATTTGGAACTAAGCGTGGCCCCCCAAACGTCGCCAGCATCACGCTCATTGGCCGTCGAACATTCGACGCCCATTCCCGGATTCGGCATCGCTTCATCGTCCATTCGCGGCATTGTGCACGAGACAGGGACCCGGACTACAAGTTTGAGGTCCGCAAGTTGATATTCCAGCACCCTGTAATGCACGGGATTGTCCAACATGCGAACAGAAGGTGGGCCGGTAATGGTATCATTTCCTGAAACCACCTGCTCAAAATTGACATCGTAAGACCGCTTGTTGAAGTTTGCTGTACCTGCTGTTGCATTTTCGGGTACCCAGTTCCACACCGTGCCGATGAAAATTGATTCAGGGGCATCGGGCAGTCGCCCTACTCGAAAGAGGTCGATGCGCTCAGCTTGGCTGCCACGTCGGTTGTTCAACCCCTTGGAGCGCATGTCTTCTGTCAGCGTGCCGTCCACAAATGCGAGGAGCGTCTGCAAGGCAGGGAAACTGATCACCACATCAGCACTCCGAAGATCAAAATCATCCTGACCAAATTGCGCAACCTCATCTCGCATGTCTGCGGTAAACGAGCGCCCCAAGCCCTGATCAATCTCTGGCGGCTCCTTCAGCCCCTTCGCAAGCTGCAGTTTGGGAGGCGGTGGCCGGTAATCCGGTGCATCAAAGCTCTCAGGAGAGCACTCCGGGTGAATGGTGTACTTTGCTACCTCGCGGAACTCCGTCATCTTGGCAGGTGGATCTCCAAGAAGTTCTTCCGCATTGAACCACTCGAAAACATCGATATCATCATCTACGTCCAAGTCTTCTTGCCAATAGCCACTCTTCAACTCTTTCGGTCCGAAGCGTTTCGGCTGTGACTTCTTTCTACTGTTTTTGGCCTTAGCTGCCTGGCTGATGCCAGGTGCTCGTGTCGATGCTGCCCTTGCCCAAACGAAAATGCAACATGCCCCCACCACATTTCGAAGGCGGTGCTGGCTGAAGCTGCCGATGTTTCGAGAGTTCACAGCAGGCCAGACATGTGAGCCACAAGCAGGCGTCCAACGCGATATTGCCGGACCGTGTGGTGCAGGTAGTTCCATGGCTTATCGTGGCCTACGGGCCTTCCTGCAGCCGAAAACGTATCATGCACAAACAAACGACTTCATCCGCTTGTCATGGGTTGGTCAAAGCACATGCCGCATACTTCGTGTGTTCATGCACTGAATGTGTAGCAAAACGATGGGCACGTACCTCCAGACAGCACATTAACCACATTAACAAGCCACAATGCGATGGGTCTGTTTTGACTTGCTATGTCTTTTGGGCAGCGAGCCAATGACCCCCAGCAAGTGTGTCTGTCTGTCTGCCTGTGTCTGACTGTCTCAGTCTGTCCCTGTCTGTCTGTGTCTGTCTTTTTGTCTGTCCGTCTCTCTCTGCCTGTCTGTCTCTCTCTGTCTGTCTCTGTCTCTCTGTCTCTCTGTCTGTCCGTCTGTCCGTC